GTTTGCCCTTTCGGGGTTGCCCCTCGCACCCCAGAAGTCCCAATGCCGCCTGCACACCGCGCAGGCAACGAGGTCAGGGCCTTAGGATCCCAGGATCTGCGCAAAGGGTCGCTGCGGCGCTTTGTCGTGCTGGTGCAATAGGCAGGCAATGAGGGAATGATCCCAATAAACAATCCCTTGTGGTTTCCGTTAAGGGGATCAGCACCAGCACGGGCCCGACACCTACCTTTTCTCGCACAGGCCGCTGCCTCGCGAGAATCGGCGGATGCGGGCTTCGCTGCTCGCAAGTGGAGTGTCGGAGTGAGGAGCGGAGGGCGCGGGAGGCATTTCATCCAGCACCTGGTCCGATACGTGCGTGCGACTGTGCCACTGAACCATTTCATATTCCCTTATGTGGTGCGTGCCCCAAGGATGGAGTGATTTTGAATATGGCAGCCCAGCTCCAAAACTGCCGCATGTGGCACAAAGACTAAGGCTGATCCGGTTGTCCCGTTCATGGCCTCGGTTGGTTCGGGGAAATGAGCGAGCTGGTGGTTGGTCGGAAGGAAGGGCTTGATTACAAGCGCCAGCTGTAGTGTTCAACGTTTCGTTGAGGGTTGTCAATTCTGTGTTTAGAGTTTGATGTTCATCGTCCATGTCAAGCTGGAGTCAAGCTGTAAGCTTAGGCTTCGTGTGACCCATTTGTGGTGAGGAACATGGTTTGCCATTGATCCTAAATGCTGGAAACTGCAGTGTGCACGCGAGTTGCTTGGCAGTGGGTCCAACATACATGCCTGAACGGCCCACGCCGCTCCTGAATGTTTCAGAGGCCTTCAGCTTTCATTGGGTGATAGGGCAAGATATTTGGGCCATACTCATTTTGCAACGTGGGGGATGTGTCGATGCTTCGCTGTCATGCCCCCATGCAGTGGCGCGCCATGTCCCGTGGTGCCTGTTTCCGAAAAGCCGGTGCGCTGCTGACACAAGCGAAAACAAACACGTATGGGCGGCATCTCTTCCCAAGCCATGCTCTTTCTCCCTGGCTGATTCGCCTAAGAAGCCACGGCAGCGCCTGCTTGCACGGTGCACTTGGCCAGGACATTGCTCCAGTTGAATGATGGTGGCATGTCTGCAGAAGCTAGAGATTACAGGGATTTGACAAAGTCGTGCCTCCGTTTGAGGCGCTTGAACTCCATGAGAAGTCGTGCCTGTTTCCAAAACGCATAGGAACTCTGCATGTTTGAAGGGATAGGCTTTTGGGAGTCATTGCGGTTGAACATGGTTATTTCGTTGGGTTTAGGATGGTTTAGGCATGTTCCATCTTATACGCCAAGGAGCGTTTACAGTGAGACATGACTTCTCTTTTGCTACAGCTGGTTCGAGTCGGCACCTTGCTTTCCCTCCCACCTGGACTAACCTGGTGTGTGTGCAGGGATGAGCGGGTGCGCTTGAGCGGGGGTGCTTGCCATTTGGCTGGCGTATGTGCAGCGCCGAGCTGGTGCGCTGGAGCCGGGGTGCTTGCCATTTGGCTGGCAGGTGTGCAGCGCTGAGCGGGCGGCGGTGCAAGAGCCGGCAAAGGCAACCCATCGTATCATGTCTTCCTAAACTCTCCTGCAACAACTTATCGTATGCTTAGCGTTCCATTGATTTTCATGTTCCTGAGGACGCCTCGCGGGGCTGGAAAACATGCTTTGTCAGAATTAGCGTTCCATTGTGTTTCAGTGTTGACACCTGTGTGTTTCAGCATGGTCAGCTGCTTTCCATGGGAATTGTTGCCAACGTCGAGGCGGCTTAGGAGTGACTTCTTGGAATGGGCGTTTAAATGGGGGAACGGGAGTGGCTTAGGCATGACTTTGTCGTTTGCCTGTACCTTTGGACCCTCTTTTTTGGGGGCAGAGATGGCGGACTGTAGAGACCCTAAACCAAGGGTAAACAACCGAAAGCAAACCCTAAACAAACCGTGGACAAACTGCACACGCGCCCCAATCCCACCCTACCACCCTGAAGACGCCTCAAAGTCACCCCAAAGCAAGCCACCACACAGAAGAAGAAACAGAAGCAGAAGAAGCAGAAGAAGAAGAAGAAGAAGAAGAAGAAAAAGAAGAAGAAGAAGAAGAAACAACAAACCTCAAACACACCCGACACCATAGCCTCGAGTGGTTTTGAACATGATGCTAGGGGTGTTCACAGTATGCTAGTCTATGCTAGGAATGTTGATGGGGAGCAATTGCGTGCACATGTGTTACAGGCTTGGGGCACCGCTGGGGATTTCATGTTTCTGTTGATGGGACGGGTGGGCTCTGCCTGACCACTTGTTCCCTGTCAAGGTAGGAAGGGGAACAAATTTGGGACTTATCGGTGCCCACCGCCGTTTCCCAGTGAGTCCCAATCCTTGCATCTTGGTTGTTTTGGCCAAGATGCAGGTTTGACTTGGATCAAACGTTCAGGATCGCCTTGGGGACATGTCAGGGGCAACAAGCCCTTTGACACATCTGGGGGTACCTGCCCACAAATGGTCGCCGTACAAACAACATCGAGAAAGCTGCATTGAGCCGAAGGCCATGGGCCAAGATATATCTAAAGAGGCTGGGGTCTGTTTGTTCAGAAAGTCTGGGAAAAAGGTAGGAGCAAGCTAGAACACGCACATGAGAAATGTCATTTCTAGCCAAATTCCGAGCTGCGGTCGCCTCAAATGCCAAAAAACCCTCAGTTAGAGAGGGATGCAGGAGGATCAGGGAGGGCCTGGGTGGTTTCCCAGTCAAGATTCTATGCTCCTCGTAGCACTGTCTGAGGTTCCTACAGTCATTGGCTGTCCTTCTCTGCCTTGTCCAGCGTGTTGCTGACCGTTGCTCGGACGGGAGATGTTCGGTGCTGGGTTCGGAGCGGTTTACCTGACATGGGGCTGCCTTGTGTAAGTGACTTTTCCCCACCTGAAATGCAGGTTTGGGGTTGTTAGACTTTAAGTGACGGCCGACCTCCCACCCCAACCGCGCCACCGCCCAACCAAACCGGCAGACCCTACTTCCCCGGCGTATGACGAACTCTTTCGACCGACAGCGGCGACAGAGCCTGTGACAGACTGCAATGGAAGAGAGGCACGGCAGCCGTGACAGTCCGAAGCCCGGGGCTCCGGCCATGGCTGGTCCCTCGAATCTGTAAAAGGGAATCCCCACCAGCGTGATTTCGGTACAGCTAAGGCTTAGCCTGCTGTTGGTTAAGCGTATCACATCAGACAGCGGCAGGCTTGAAACGCGAAAGCAGTCCGATTGACCTTTTGGTACCAGTGTGATTTCAGAGGTACCTTGGTCAAGCAAGCTTTCTTTGGGATTGTTCGAAGTAAATCGTTTGCATTTTTTGGCTTTGGGGTGGGATGGGGATGTTTGAGAGCCATAGGGTGCAGTTGTTTGGGCCATAGGGTGCAGTTGTTTGGGCCATAGGGCCAGAACGAGTGGCCGAGCCAGGTGACCGCGCTCTACGCGGTGTTCCTTGCGCCCCGCGACGACGCGGCCACCATCGCCTGGCGTATGACCCGGCCACAGCGGCCCTCGGAGGAGCTGGGGTGCAGCACGGCGACTGGTTGCGTTTAACCGGGCAGGGGCGCAGTTGAAACAAACCAACGACGGTTGCCTCATGTTTGAAAGCAGGGTGGCCCGAACTGTGGTTTGACAAACCACCCACGGAGCCAAACATTCAACTTGGTTGCAGCGCTCACCTTCATTCACTGGGCGACTTCACACAAGACTTATGGGAGAGTTCCTCTTACCTGTGCTCAGGCTGCCAGTTCATGTACTCAATCTCTGTCGAAGCTGAGGGTTGACCAAGTCGACTTCTACGCAATTTTGAATCCTACCGTCCGCGGGCGCAATTTCAGGGCACGAGGACAATCGGGGGAAATGGAGAACACCAACCTCTGTCCCTCACCACTGTGGGGACTGCCATACGGTGCTTCGCCTGCACTGCGTCTTGATTCAGCATATGAGCGAGCAACACCCCCCCAATTACGTCCTAGAATCCCGCTAATTTTGTAACATACCCATTATAGCCTTTCCGGTGCCAACAGAAACACGCAGAGTTGCGTGGGCCTCCAGGCACCGCAGCCACCACGCTGCCGATTACCCAAAACATAAATGCCGGACAGCTCCATCGCACATTCCTCCTCGGGCCAAATGACCCAGACTTCGGCGCCGCGAGCCGGCTGCTTGGCAAGTGAAATTGCCATCGGCGTGGGATTTATCATGGTGAGGAGGCTGGAGGCTTTCCCCAGTCATCCCAAGAGCCCTGGTAACCAACCGTGGGTTGAACTTCCAAGCGAACTTTTTTCGGGGTGAAAAGCTTCCCAACCTGCGAAGCCCTGACGAGCTCACACGGTAAGCAATGTATGGGAAAGCGCCCCCAATGCACCCTTCCGCATAGATGTCCCCTCCCCACAAGGTTAATGATGTATGGAGGGGGGCCTTCCGCGATACAGGAGGGTCAGGTCCCCGACGGCGCTCAGTCAATTCGCACGCGAGTTGTTGGCGTACCCCGAGTGCTTTTTGCCAAAGTTTTCTCCAAGGGGATGGGGGCAGCGGGTCACAACCACGACGGTCCTTTCTTGAGGATGTCTTTGCCAAAAACCATTTCCTCAGGTTTTGCTGACAAACATTCCACATCAGAGCGCCTCGAGGCATCTTGACGCGCAAATGGTTGCACATTCCTTTGCGCCAGGTTCGTTGCTGCGAAGATTTGAACCGGCAAGAAATCCTTTTTCACCCCAAGAGTGCTCCTGAGTTTTGAAAGGGCTGGGACTTGGTTGCTGCCCATGTAGAGCCACAGCCAGTGGGCCTCGTCGCGTCCCAGGAATTGATTGTTCCTGGACCCTAAACTTCTTGAAGGACTCTAGACTTCTTGAAGGACCATTTTAGTGGTAAACCAACAGTGCAGACTTTGTGTCCCCAGTCCACTCGGTCGGAAGTGAGTCCCTTCGGAAGTGAAGTATTCTTGTGCACTAGCTCGTCGGAAGTGAGTTTTGTTTGCCGGCAGGTTACGCGCTGCTGAACTGGTTCCAGGGCATGGTGGGTGCTGTGCTGCCGGCCCACGAGCGCGCGAAGAGCGGGTGTGCCTACGGCATGCTGCACCAGACCTTTGCACCACAGGATGCGGATTTCGGATTTTGGCTGTGGGTCAAAACCACCGGTACCATTTTGGGGTAGGTGCACTCATTTTGGTCTATTTTGGTGGGGATTGGGATGTTCACTGCAGGGTACGGGATTTTGACCCATGGCCATTTGGGTCGCCCGATTTCGAGTGGTCCTTTGCACCGCGCGTGAGAAACCCTTGGGGAGGGGGGGGGGGGCAACAGGCCCCAGGCGAAATTAGGTCCTTTTGAGGTCTGGCAGGCGTGTCCCAAAAAGTGGCGAACAGAGCACTTGGAACTGGGCCGATGGTCAGCCGGCGTCGCCCACTTGTTCAATCTCATTTTTTGCCCTTGGTGGGGGCTCAATGGGGCTCATCTGGCCAGTGACCAATTGGTTAAATACTGCAATAGCAACAAAACACAACGTTTCCTCTTTGATGCTGTGGCTCTTTCGGCAGGAGTTGAGCAATTACGACGACAACGACTATTATAAAGAGCCGCCTCGCTTGTATCAGCTGGGCGTGGGCTGGGGCCTGATCTTGGCTTGGGGCGCGACTATAGGGCCAGGGATTCGGGAGCTCAGGGGCCATAGGCCAGGACACCAGCGCCTGAAGGTACTACGGCGTCATCATCGTACGGACCCTGCTGTTCCTCGCTGGGCTGATTTGGATGCAGCACTTGATGGTGAGGAGGGCGCCTTGGCCTGCGAAAAAGCACGCTCAGCTTCGGTATCCGCAAGCCACTGCCTACAAGGGAGGATAGGAGATACAGCCTATCTTTCCTGGGCGTAGTGGTAGTGGAAGCCGTCTCAGATTGCTATTTGTTCTGTTTGTATACTGTGTCGCTTGCGGGCTTCACTTTTGGCGTGCAGACGTGAAGCATAGCACAGGCACATACGCAAACACACACACAAACACACAAACACACAACACACACACACAAACACACACACAAACACAAGCACAACACGCGCACACAAACACAACACACATACACAAACCAACCAACCAACCAACAAACCAATAAACCAAACCAAACCAACCCAACCCAACCCAGCCCAACTCCACCTCAACCATAACCCAACCCAACCCAAAACAAAGCAATCAAACAAACCAACACACAACCACATACACAAACAAACAAACAAACGAACGAACGAACAATCAAACAAGAAAAGAAGCAAGCGCACAAACAAACACACAAACAAACACACAAACAAGCACACAATCAAACACACAAACAAACACACAAACAAACACACAAACAAACACACAAACAAACAAACAAACAAGCAAGCAAGCAAGCAAGCAAACAAACAAACAAACAAACAAACAAACAAACAAACAAAGAAACAAGCAAGCGAACAAACAACCAACCAACCAAACAAACAAACAAGCAAGCAAGAAAGCAAGCAGGTAAGCAAGCACGCAAGGAATCAGGCAAACAAAGCCAACCAACCAAACAAACAAAAGAAAGAAGTGCATACACACACACACAAACACAACCATACAAACACACAAACAAACCATCAAAGAAGCAAGCAAGCAAGCAAACAAGCAAACAAACAAGCAAGCAAACAACCAAACACACACACACAAAACACAAACACACAAACACACAAACGCACTGCAACAAACACACACGCAAACAAACACGCAAACACACAAAAGCACAAACACGCAAACAAACACACAAGCAACAAACAAAAAGCAAGCAAGCAAACAAGCATACAAGCAAACAATTAACCAACTTAAACAAACACGCCAACGCGCAAGCAAGCAAGCAAGCAAGCAAGCAAGCAAGCAAGCAAGCAAGCAAGCAAGCAAGCAAGCAAGCAAGCAAGCAAGCAAGCAAGCAAGCCAAGCAAGCAAGCAAGCAAGCAAGCAAGCAAGCAA